TGCGGTTTTCCCTGTTTCACATGTGCTATTTCCCTCTCCTCCCCACCCCGACAGCTCGATTAGGAGGAGACCAGGGCAGGGTGGGGGGATGAGGGGGTCATACCAACCTCTAAAGAGGGGCGGGAGTCATGCGGACTGGAACAGAGTCCGCACGACTCCCACCCTCTTCTTTCAAAAGGTTTATGACCCCCCCCCCCGCCTGCCCTGGTTCCCTTGGTAGTCAACTAATGATCTGCCCTGGCTGGAATGTATTGAGACTGTGAGAAAGTGTAGCCGTCAAGGTGCTAACAACGCGTTCAGACATAGAAGTTCCGATTTGCGAGCCGACGTCATTTACGTGCTCAAACGCTGCTGAAGAAACAGGCGCAATAGGCGACGGGGGCATTTTGTACTTCATACTTTCATTGCTTCCCTAGTTCCGGTTTACAAGTCTCACTCTGGTGAAACCTGTGAACTCTTGTGAAGCTGGAGCAAGGTCGTCAAGCCATCATGGTAAAACCTGTCAACTCGAGAAGAGGCTGTCTAGATAGGTCGACACGTCGATGGGAAGTAGCGAAAGTGCAAAATGCCCCCCCCCCGTCGCCAAACAGCGCCAAAGAAAGATAAAATCCGGGAGTATTATAAAATTAAAGGCGAAGTTTTGGGTCATTTACATTTTGCTGATGAATACCCAGGTTAGATAAGGACTGTACATGCTGATATTGTCACTCAATGCGGTATTCATCTAGCTTTGCCACATCCGCATTCGTTTGAACGATGAGTATCACAGGCACTTATCAGCCGCAGGTCCCTGGGAGCGTGATCTGGATCCAGTGATGGCTTAAGCCGCCATTGTCAAAGGTCAAAAGCCAGCGTGCTGTTCACCTTCAGACCTCAGTGAATTTATCAGAACTTTTGTCTCGTAGCCGACCAGTATAATCACCCATTCAAAAGTCAGTTGTTATCCTCTTGGCTATCCTTTTCACGCTTGTTATGCAGAAAGGGCAATCAGAAATGACTCTTACGTTCCCGAAGCGGAGCTGGTGCTGTGGCAAGCGGCCCGCTCACCATACGCCTATGTTCTGAGGATCAACTTTTGGACTAGCTGCCCAGGCCAACCAAGCCTTCTACCCTCCGAGGACGGTAAATTGGCACAAGATTTGTCTGGTAGCATGAAAACAGTGACCTTACATTTGTTGCTACTGCATTTTTCTATAGGCTCAAATCGCATTTAAATTTCTGGTACGGTTCTGTGCGTGGCACACCTTAGAACTGGATTGCTCATCGGCGGGATTAGAGTTGAGGAGTGTTCATAGTTCGCAGCAATAGCGATCTAGTCGCGCAAATCGAGCGATTCCGGAAGCTAGAGTAAGGAAGCGTGAAGGGAAAGTATGGAAACCGACCCATAGCTCCAAGTTCATACTTTGCAACTGAAAAGGATTTGGCGATTTGGTAGACTCGACGACTCGAGGTTGTGTGACAAGAAAAGTATAGATATCGATTTCGCGATTGACAGGATCGGCGACCCGGCGCCGATCGATACCCATCCACTCCACTGGCGCGCATTCGCCCAAACCGCCGAATCCCTCCAACACCTATACTTTCCTCATCGCGACATCTCTTGAGTCGCCGAGTAGCGCAAATCGCCGAATCTCCTCATTTGGAAAATGCAGGCGCGGTCTTATCGCCCGAGATCGTCTTGCGCCAATCGCGCGACCGTCGCGAACTATGAACACTGCCTCGACCAGCAGCGTACCGTTCATACCCCGGGCGAAATATTTTGACGAATATCTAGTAATTAGTTGATCTAAAATAGGAAATTTGAATTGAAGCAATGCTACAAAGATAATTCAACAGTCCTGAGAGTAATCAAACAATTCCAGTTCCAATGGATCTTGATGTGAGAGCTAAAGCACTTCTTCTTAGTGCGACCTTCATGATAGTAAGTGGTAGTGAATACCCCACGTGAATCTCTACAATAGCGAAGATCTTTTTCAGGACTTCGCAGAGTTCGAACATTCGACTGGTAACTGAAATGTCTATCACTTCATTTTGGGCTGTACTCACTGGGATTACCTTCATATTCGGTCTATCGACAACATCAGCATACTTCTGTTCTGTAAACACATTGGACCCAACGCCGTTTTTGCTGCATTCCGTAATTGAATATTTTGTCCAGGGCGTGCATTGCTGTCAATGCACAAGCA